CGACAACATCGTTCTTGAGAGCCCGCAGCGCGCTCGTCTGTTCGGTGTAGCTCCTTGCGCTCTGGAGCTGCGAGAGAATTGGGGGATTCGACGTGCGTGTCATGATGAAAGTCGATTCGAGTCGTTGGGAGGAGCTCGTCTTTGTGTCGTCGTCGTCGAACAGCGCGTCGTGTACTTGCGAGGACAGAGTGATGCTGTTGCGGCGACGGAGGTTGCGTCAGAGCCCCAGGTTCCTATGAACCGGTCGGCCGTCAAGTAAACGTGGATCGAGCTATGCGTAAAGATCGAAGGACAATATATTCTCCTTTAATGCATGTATCAATAGCTAGTTGCTGTATGCTGTGGATGGGTTCCAAAGTTGTCGGGAGCTTGAGTTCGGAAATCGGGTGTCCATGGACTGAAGACCAGGATGTCGTCCGCAGGATGGATCGCAGTTGATCACCTCAAGACAGGGCCGATGGTTTGGGAGACTGGGTGATTATCGGGCGTTGGCACTGGGGTATGGCACGTGCATTTCTCTTATCGCAACCTGCCGTTTTCAGGATTCTCACATGCTAGCTGAAGCTTGGGGCATCCTTAAGTGTCAGTGCGGAAGCCTGTGCTGTGCTGGTGCTTGCCCGTGTTTTCGTGATTCTACAGCGACGAACGGTCCTGCTGCCTTCATCGTGAACATTAAAGAAGGTTTCATACTCTCTGATTCATCCACTCGGAAACCACAACAAGCAGAACACCATGTGCGTTTCAAAGATCAATGTGTCTCCTTTCCAAGGGTATCTGTTCTACAGGGTTTCGTGAGTGCCTAGGTAATAGAAAAAGGACGAGGTACCGAAGTAGGGATAGAGAATTGGCAACTCTGACCATCCCCCGCATGGCTGATTGTAACACTGCTTAGTTGTCTCCTTTCCTTCCACCACGTCGATACCCCACATGGTGTGGCTTACACATGGTAAACTTCCCGAAACAGAAGCGCTTGCCACCTGGGGTTTTGTTGATCTGATCTGGGAGCATCCAGCTCCTACCCATGACGGAGGGGAAAACATGAGACTAACAAAACTTTCCTCTGGTGATTCGATCGATGTTTAAGTTGTGAGAGATTCTGTTACATTTGATGGGTCGAGATGGCGGTTCCTGAATGAGATCCGAAGTAAATTGTGAGCTTTCATCGTTCTAACCAAGATATGTCTAGAGTTGAATGATGAAGATGTGGCGGATCTGTTACGTTTGTACCCTTTCAGAAGTGGACCGTAGACAGGCAATTCAGGATCTAATGAGACTTTATAGCTGGATAACTCTTCAAGGACCTTGTGCCATCAATCGGTATAAGTTATCTACCTAGGCAGTGTTTTAATGAGCCGGATATGATTTCAACAAGCACTGGAATGCTCTCTCAGCCATGAGCATAGAGGAATAGGTAGAAAACCAGTTCATCACTTCACCGTTTATTCAACCGAGCTAACCCCTAAGCCAAGCTCGATATAATTGCTCAATTGCAAGAAGTGGGCAAAGTGTAGGGCAGGTATGCAACTTGCAGATATACTAAGTATTTGTGCGGGTAAGCTATCCGTTGTGCCTCTATTGACAAGCCGAAGCCCATGTTGCTCGAATTATGACACAAGGTAAGGTAGGTCAAGATTGATCAGTGTTGCTTGAGTGGCCTTTAATGGCCAGGTTCGTCCCGTCATTTGTAGAAGCCGATGCTCTTCGTAAAGCACTAGGACGTTCCTCCACAATACACAGGATACGTACCATACGGGTCACAATGCTGCGCAGCTACGAATTGTTCGCTTGAAGCGTGAGACGGGGGTAATCTGACCAAGATAGCGGCTCGATCGTGAGATGAGGGGTACCAGGCGTGAGATAATAAATGAGATCTGACGATTGGACGAGTGCGACGGGTATTTCAACGCCAAGGGGGTACGAGTACACGATAAGAGGCTGACCGCTGGCCGTAACGGCGGGCAGTCCCGTACGGCGAAACACCTTCCTACATGGTACACAAGGTGATAAAGGTCCGGAGAATAAGAGGTTGTCGCGGAGCATGCTGGATCCCTTGGTGGAACACGTCGGCGCCATAACTCCATTCTCCGCGCTCCGAAGCGTGTACGGTGTACTAGACTTGAGGTCCACTGGTTCCTCCGTAATGATAATCTGAACCCGCATATCCGTAGAAAAATTTGAGCCGCCCAGACTCGACGGCGCCTCCGGCCCCAGGCTGCGAATCGTAACCGGCCAGGTCCCTGTTGGCCTTATTGTGGGGGGGCCTGGGCGCTCTGGGTAGCCGTAGAAGGGTTGCAGCGCCGGGCCCAGAGCAGCGTTAGTGGCGTAGCTCGGTGTCCCGAAGCAGAAGAGCGGCCCACCTCTGACATTGAATCAGCGACGGGAGGGCCTCAAGATGAGGTGGACGAGATGGCGCAATGAGCGGCTTTCAGGGCGCGCAGGGCCAGGAGAAAAGCTCTGCAAGGCCATGTGGTCTTTTAGCAGTAATGACCGCCCGGAAGCATGTTCAAGCCCTTCCCCTGGCGTTGCGTTCTGTCTGGAGCCGGGGCTGGGGTACTCTGTCTGTCGGGTAGAACTGTAAGTGTACGCAGGTATACGGAATAGGGACGACAAGTGTGAGACTGTGAGAAATCAGTGACAATCAAAAAAGCACGTTTTCGCTCACGTACAGATGTCAAGACCTTCCCCACTAACCCACAGCAGACGACTGGCTCACTGGCGCAAGCGTGGTTTGCTTGGCTTGATGCCGAGACCGCAGAAAATCAGATTCGTGCCCTTCCACGTCCCAAGTCCTTGGCACCTCATTGGCAGCCTAGGCCATCCCACGATTCCCACTGGCTGGCATCTCGGTACGTACCTCACTCATCCTGGGCAGTCAGGACGGAAGGTGCGATTGCCTTGGGCTCTTGCCTCGCACATTGGATGCCTTCATCAGCCGTCCACTCTTTCTTTCTCTTCTTGTGACCTCCTGTTCATTCGCTTTGCTAATGTTCCTGGCGCTGCTGCTGCTGCTACTTTACTGGAACTGGAACTGGTGCCGACCTCCCGTCTACCTAGACTCCCGTTCCTGCCAGCAGCCGTATCAAAGGGGGTGACTTCCATTGCCAACATCGGATACCTGTAGCGCCAATCCACCTCAGTCCTCCCCCTCTCCAGCCTGGCCATCCTCATCGCCTAATACCTTATCCCACGCGCACCACCACCACACGGCGTCGGCAAACCGAGCCCCTCCACTCCTCATCCCGGTTTTTTCGACCGTGTGTGGCCTATCTGATTTTGGGGTCTGGCAATCTGCAAATCTGAACCTACCCTATCGACCGCCGAACCGCTACCGCCAACAACTACACACTATTACCAACTTACTTACCTTAGGAGCGCCTACATTACACTACACTACACTCACCTCGCTCACCTTATCCCGCCACTTCAGCTCCAGCTTCGACTGGCAATCACGTCCGATCCGCTCGTTCTGTTGTCCTCGAAATCCCACGATGCGCCCGGGACCATGTTGACAACATCTCCCATCGTCGCCAGCTCCGCCAATGCCTCGCCCAATAGCTTCCACTATGCCCCTACGCGATCCTCCCCGCACTCATCTCCTGCCCGGCTTTCGGCCCCTTTGCCGCGGCGGCACTCTGCATCAAGGTCTTCTCCGTCCGCCGCCTCAATGACCTCACCTTCTTCCCAACCACGCCCACGACAATATGTAGCCGTCGACGCCGGCACCCAATATTCTCCCATGGAGTCTTCCACCCAAAAGGCACAAGATGCCACCACCCCGTACACTTCTACTACCGTGCCTGTCACGCCTGTCGAACCCCCGCCGACGCCGCGTCCTCAACCCATAGACCCATCCGCGCCGCAACCGCAACCAGAACCCCATCGGCGATCCCAGCCAGAAATACAATCACAACCCCAACCCGTCGTGGCACCCGTCATTCGCGAGGCCTCGACCACTACCGCGTCGCCCGGAAAACGTCGAAACTCTCAAGATCCTGCTGTCGCGCAAGCGCAGGCGAGCGCATCAGCAGCGGGCGAGTCGTCGAGCAGCGCGGCTAAGCGCCCAAAGCCCACGGCTGGCCCGCCGAAAATATTGCCCCAGCGATATGAGCTATGCAGCACCGAGGATATGGTTGTGCTCATATCCCACATGCTATCAGAGCTGATAGAGACCAACGATGCTCTGGCTCTTCGTTCTGGAAGCCTGACTCGCTTCCACTCAAGGTGAGCAAAAAGCCTTCTTTTCCCAGCCGTCACCCCTGATTTAGCAGCGCTCACTAATCTGTATTCAGAACCGCACCGAGCATTTCAGTACTGGAATATCTCAACAGATTAGCAAAGCATGCGACGCTGACCCCGCCGCTGTTGCTTTCTATGGTCTACTATATTGACCGTCTCTGCGCATTATACCCAGAGTTCACCATCAACACGCTGACTGTCCATCGCTTTCTGATCACGGCCGCCACCGTAGCGGCCAAGGGTCTATCGGATCTGTTTTGGAACAACACAACGTATGCGCGAGTAGGAGGTGTTAGAGTCGCCGAGCTCAAGCTGTTGGAGCTTGAATTTCTATACAGGGTAGACTGGAAGATCGTTCCGAACCCAGAAGTCCTTGTGGCTTACTACCGTGGCCTCGTTGAGCGCTGCCCAGGATTTGCGTTGCAAGAGGAAGAAGCGGAAGCGATTGACGAAGACGAGGATTCTGATGAAGTCGAAGATGATGGATCGACAGAGATTTCAGACGGAGTCGCTGACGACAGCGGAGACTCGCCGGACGAAGAGAGCCCGGCCAAGTCGCCGCATGGGGATGAGGCAGGGTCATCGCAGCCCTCGTAACGGCCGTCAAGAGAACTTCAAGGGTAAACCTTTGTTTGTCAATTCCATTTTGTTAAAAACGGGCGGGCATCACTGCTGCCAGAGAGGCATGGCAAAGCGGCGTTTGGAAAGGTGGGATGTTTTGAATGGTTATGAGTGATAGCGGTAATGAATACCACACTGTTCTGAATGATTCTATATTCACGCGCGATTTAAGTTTGATGACATGGTACTGTCTGTACAATGCATCCAAGAACGCCAGACTTCTTTACACAAGAGACGCTTCCAGAGCGGGCAGGTTGGTGATTGTTTGGGGCCTGGCTGAATGGTCGTGTCTGGGGTAAGATACAGTGGAGGTGTTCAGCCGACCTAACCCCGGGCGACCTTCAACCCAGCGCTCCATAGAACTTCCCCCCTCCAGCATCTTCCATCTGCAATTGCTCGCATTTGCACCTCGAAACACCCAGCGCCGTTCCCCTAAGCGCATCTCACGGAAGGGGCTCTAGGTCTACATACGGAAACATCAATCGGCAAAGATGCGCGCGACAACGATCCTATCGGCGCTCTTCGCAGCGACCCTCGCCGCCGCCGAAACCCGCCTCGCAAAGGTCTACATCGAACCCGTCTCCCTCGCAACCCAACAAAAACCAACCCTCCTCGCCGAGGTCGAGTACGACACAGAACGGCCCGCCGAGGCGAGCGTCACCTCCTTCGAGGCCCCCGAACTCGCCGACTACCCGGCCGCGACGAAGCTCGTCCGCGTCGGCGTCTACGATCCGGCCACGGCGCAGTGGACTTCCAGCGTGTCGGTCGCCTCGACGGAGAACTTTGCTAAGGGGTACCAGCCCAACATTGTGCTGAGCGTCGACGGCGTCTCGGGCGAGGTCGTGGGTGCCGGGGTGAAGGGCGTGCGGGTCGACGCGGGCGCGACGAGGGATTTTGGACCGCAGGCTGTTGTGAGGGTCGCGGGGCAGGGCAAGACGCCCGAGTTGAACAAGCCTGTTGTGTTGAGTCCTGAGGGACGCAAGGTTGTTCAGGAGGAGAAGCCGTTTTGGCAAAAGTATGTTGCTGTTGCTGTTCCCTTGCCTTGTTTGTCTTTGGGGGTCTGTGATGAGTGGATTGCTAACGTTGAGACTCAGGTACTGGTGGTTGATTGCGATTGTCGTCTTGATGACTGTCACTGGTGGAGGAGATGGAAAATAGACGAAGTAAATGGCGATGAAGATACACCAATAGACCTTTTCCACGTTCACCCGCGAAGTAGGTGCCTCATTTGATGGCATCGCGTACGTGTCCGGGACCTTGCTTCTACCGGTGATATGAGAGGGATCAACTAGTCTCATCTGACCCTGAAGAGTCTCAGGCAATGCCCATGGCTCTCACTGCCCCTGGACTAAGAAATGTCTCCCTTGCTATAGTATCGAGTAAACACTAGAAGACTGATATACAACAGTCAACCGTATGGCAAAGAATCGGTCCTGAAACGATCGCAAATGCATTCTCCGTGGCTCCCCTTCACAAGGCTATAGCTATATCTTGATGCATAAGATTTCTGTTGTAGCCAATTAGACGGCATTGTAAAAGGTACGACAAGAGTTCATGTCATGTATAATGGACTGTTATTCCAAAGCCGCCGAGTCTTACATTCGACTTCTGCCATCCAGGACGCCTTAGATGCGAGAGCTCAGGCACATGACCTAAGAAGCAGGCGCCTGGCTGTGGACTTTCCGCATAAGTATGCCAAGCACCAAAGAAGGACTTGCTTCCACAGAATACCCATTGACTACCTATAAGAACACATCATCCCAAGGAAGCTATGTAGATTATAACACTCCATCCTGTGAAATATAGCTTCGCCAAATGAAATGCTGTTATACCTGATCGATGGGCATACTGTGGAAATAGGTTCTTCTTTTTTTCCTTTTCTTTGCATCTGGCAAGCCCGTACGGCGTATTGGCGTACCTACGTTTGGCAAGCTCCTTTTTGGTAACGTAGGTTTGATTCCTACTGCAGCTGAAGCGCTGTTATTCGGCTCCAGCGTCCCTCTCGCTTAGGTAATCTCGGAGGCATAGCAGGCAGGTCTGACATGGCACGTGCGCGCCAGGCGGATCAGCTCTAGCCCAATCTGAGGCTAGCGCTCGTTGCTCAGAGACGGAGCCTGCAGTGTGCTGCACCACACAAGCCTTGCGCGGAAGGCATTCCTTGAGTCCTTCCACGCAGGCAGTCTTAAAAGCTGGGACCAGGACCGGGGGGTGTAGGTACGATCCAAGTGATAAATCAATCGACGTGCCTGCGCAAAGCTTCACCTCCACTTTCCTTTCCCACCTTCCATTCGTACAACCCTCCCACCCAAACTTTCCCAATCCAACCACCACAACTTTTTGCGACAGCAACTACTTCTCTTTTCCCTCCCCCTTTGCGCAAACTCTTGACAGGACCACCCAAAATCCACGAAACAGACACAATGGCTGCCGAGAACGAGAACGTCGCTGCTGGCCTCGCCGAGGAGACCAAGGGCAAGGGCAAGGCTGTTGCCGCTGAGGAGCCTGTTGAGAAGAGCGACGCCATGGACGAGGATGAGGACTCCAGTGATGAGGAGGAGGCCCCCGAGGCCCCCGAGGCTGGTAAGAACGAACCCCGGCTGCTACAAGTCTACCGCGCACCTGCGATTTCTTTGACTAACATGCCTGCGAATACAGTCGACGAGGAGGACGGCATGGAGGAGATTGACCTGAGCAACATTGTCGAGGGCGGTCGCCGCACCCGTGGCCGTGTCATCGACTTCGCCAAGGCTGCCGAGGAGAACCCCGCCGAGGAGGAAGATGACGAGGACGACGATGACTTCGCGGCCGACGAGTCCAAGATGGATGAGGACTAAGAAGCGAGTTTACTCCTCCTTTTTTTCTTCCGTCCTTCGTACACCCCCCCTTCATCGGGATGGCGGTCTCGGCGGCGGTGGTGGTTCATCACCAATCATGACGGTTATTGGGACACGGCACGACACACACATGACGACAAAAACGGGAATGTTAAGGAGGGGCGGTGGATGGTTTACACAAAAGTTATAAGAGGGCTTTGATAAACATTTGCATGCCCCTTACGTCGATGAAAAGACTTGGTGGGTTTGGACATTGGCGGCTGAGAGCCTCGGTTGATATTGCAGCTTTTTCGGCGGTGGCGGTGATGTTCATCAATCTGCTGCCCCCTGCCTGATATTGGTTCGGCGGGATGGCTCTCTATTTATCAGGCCGTTCAGCACGCGATGTCACTACCTTGACTACGAGTGCCATGGAAATGAAGATTATGCGACAATGAGCGGTCCCGAATGCCTGTGCATGTTGACGTGTGTAGTGAATGATGTTGCGGAAGTGGCATAGGTACATGCGACGCCCGTGTTTTTGTTTTGCAGCAAAATTCTTGTTAGTCCAGGAAGAGCTTATCCACTCGCCAGCTCGATCGTTGATCAGTGCATGAAGCAGAGCTACATAGGCAAGTACTGACATTGACACCACAGGCATTGCCTTGACAAGTTGCGTGTACGTACTCTTCGGTTTAAGGAACAAGTGTAGTCAATATAAACAAAACGCATCCGGGGCTGTCATTGCCTCCTCGAGTAAACAATCAGGTCTTAGAAGAGGTTCTTAAAGCGCAAGGTCTTTGCTGGTACAGCTTGAAGTTGGCTAACGAGAGGTCGATGGAGATGCTCATAAGCTACTTAGGTACCTGGTGTACGGAGTAGGCCCGTCCTTCCTTCCGCTGTCAGCACCGGAGGGAAGACTTCCAGCCGGAGACGGGCCCAGGAAGGGACGTCCGCTTTCATCCTTTGGTGCCTTGCTCGGGACTTTTTAGGTTCATCTCCGTTTTCGATTGGATAGCGGGACGACACGTACCCAAATTGCTGTGAGCGGGCCGTGGGCTTTTGGGGAAACCATGGAAATGTCAGAGTTGCAAAGTACATTGGATGTGGCCAGGAAACCGAGGGGCGTGTCTTCCCCTCTACCTCCGTTGAGAGTGTAAAGCTGGCTGGAGGTACTTTACGCGAACTTCCACCGTGTCAGGCTTTTCCCATTCCATTCCCCTTTCCCACGCATGAAACCCCAGCAAGCTCGCCTCGTTTTTGACTATAACCCACCACAGACGTCAAAAGTCAAAAGGAGGGAGTTTGAGCCGCTAACAAAAATTATAGAGATCGCCCAGCCGAGATTCGACACATACCTACGAATACCCTGCCCGCATAGCATAGACCCCTGCTCTAGCACACCTTACCAACCGGACCGACATTGAATGACAACACAACTTCCAGGGGTTCAAGGAACGAGAGAGGTCTGATTCTGTACAAGGGCCAACCAGAAAAAAGTTGATTCTTGTTATCGGGATTGTCTAATTAGCACCAAACACCTCCTCCACCCCTTTTCTTGAAGCAACAACTCTTCAAGTATTCGAGACATTTCAACGTGTTGTCGCGGACGACGCCCGGTACTATTACAATACACGCCGACCCAAAATCTGACACTTTTTCTTTTTTTGGCTTCGAGGCAGCAGCTGTGCGCGCGCGACACAGGACGCGACGGTTAGGACACCATGGCTTCGAGGTGCGTATACTAGACTCGACGGAAAACCCAGCAAACACGCAACGCACGCGGTTTGGAATCGCTGGATGGGAAGCAACGGCTCGCGGTTAGGTTGCGACTTTCGCAGGTGGCTTTCGAGAAAGTGTCGAGGGAGCGGGGAGAGATCCGTCCTGAAGACCGGCAAAGTGGTGATGACGGCCCCCGCCCTCGATCACGAACTCTCCACGAGGCCGACAAGCAGAACCACCAGCGAGAGCGAACCGACCGACCACCCGCTTTGCGCGACAGCACATAACATTCACAATCGGGAATCCCCGTAAGCAGTGTGCTGACTCGTTACGAAACACAGATTCGGCGCTTCCTCGCTGCACCAGCGCGACTCCCGCAGCGCCCTCTTCGAAGGCTACACCGGCGGTGGCGGCAGCGACAACGGTCGACGGCCCGTCAGCGCCTCGCCGTCCAGACTGGGCGGTGGGTACGGCTACGGCTACGCGGGCGGCAGCGCGTCGCCTGGGCCGCCCATGGGTGGGAGCCACCTCGGTGTTGACGCGAACCGGGGGTTCCGGCCTGCGACGCCGAATAAACGGTACGGAACGAGACAGCTCCTCATGTTACCTTTGGAAGTCCCGTTTGCGATGGGATGACTGGAGAAGGGGGAGAAGCTCTCTAAGATTGGTGTCAACTTGCTGACGGTTGTTACATATTAGAGGCCAGTACAGCGACGCCGTGCTCAACGAGCTCGAGAGCCAGAATGACGAGCAGGTCGCGGGTATCATGGGCAAAGTCAAGATCTTGAAGAGCGTAAGTTCTGCCTCCTCACCCGCACCCCCCTTCCCTCGCATCACCGCCATCTCCCATGCAACGTCCCCAGACGTATAACATGTAACTAAATCATGAGGCGCGCAGATGACGGTAGCCATCGGCGACGAGATCCGCGACTCCTCGGCCCTGGCAGAGAAGATGAACGACAGCTTCGACTCGACGCGCCTGCGCATCCGCGGGACCATGAACCGCATGCTCGTCATGGCGGAGAAGACGGGCGTCGGCTGGAAGGTCTGGCTCGGCTTCTTCGCGGCCGTGTGTTTCTTGTTCATGTACGTCTGGCTCTTCTAAATGCGGCCGGACCGAAGAACTACGGCTACGACTATGACCAGCGAGAAAGCAGGGACAAGACGACGCGCGATTTGATCGTTAGGGGCGTGATTACGAAACACGTACATCTGCAAGCATGAACACTGTTCGTGCTCGGAGGGGGTGAACGGCTTCCTGCTACGTGGGCTTCTGCCGAGGTTATCAATATGGAAATAAATGATGCTGCAAGCCAACGCGATTATCAACAGGGCGCAGCGAGCTCGGGAGATTGAAATCAACGCGCTGTCCGCGTCGAATGTTCTAGGCGACAGAAACGAGTAGGAGGAAGCGGACGCGGAGGGGTGTAACAGCTCTCTCGGAACGGTGCGGTGCATCTGGTTGGGAAGCAACCCATTTTTGGCATGCTCGGCGTTGGAGGCGTTTCGAAACAGTTTCTATTTGCCTGGAACCATCCATGTCTAAAGGAGAGAGCACGAGAGTCTTGATGGGGTCTTGGTTTCCTTTTCACAGCATTTGGGACATGAGGAAAGAGATGAATGATCACGAAAGGACGTCCTGATATGAAGGACTCAGAGTGGGCAGAAGGGCATGGTCTCTTTTTGCTTTAGGGGGTGTGCATACATCTGAGGAGAGGGGTAGGAAGAGGTTGTGGTTTCTCCTTCACTTGTCAAGTATTGGGACATAAATTAAAAGCTTTTGTAATGGCCGTGTATACACTTTTTTATTTTACGAACTTTCCACACTAATTACTGGTTGCTCGTGTCTTGTGCTTTGTGACTTCGCGATAAGCGACCACTACGCGCTACCATCTCTAAACCTCGAATGTTGGTGTATGCATGTTGTTTTTGCTAGACTCGCGAACGCGGGGGACATCTCTACGTCTATAGCTCCGCGCCTCTCAAACAATGTGTGTGACGGGTAAGGGGGTATCGTAATTCCATCTTCCTCTCTCTCATCCCCTCAACGCCTATGAGCCCTCATATTGGGACTACTATCCATCATACTACTCCCATCCGCAGAAAGCAACCCGCTAAGATCCATACTACTCCTCGGCACATGATGACGCCTCGCAGCACCAGCAGCGCTTCCCCGTCCCCGATCCCCAGTCGGACTCAACGGGGCCCTCAAAGGCGCAGCCCTCGGCGCAAAACTGATATCCCCTTCCTCCTCCTCATCCTCGTCGTCGTCTTCCTCCCCACCACTGCTAATAACACTGCTCGTCAACCCGCTCACCTCGACTTCCGAGTCGGTATGCTCATACACCCCGCTCAGCCCCTCCGCCTCGGGAATCTCATCGTCCAGATCGGCGTCCATGTCGACGCCCATACCCAAGCCGTCGTCGTCGACGTCGAGAAGACCGTCCTCGCCGGGCTCAAGCAGGTCCTCCTCGTCGAGCATCTGGCCCTGCCCCGAGGCCTCGAGCTCCTCTTCGGCGCCGTACATGTCGTCGCCGTCGACGTCGCCCCTTGCCATGGCCTGTCTGAAGGCGTCGTCCGCCATCCGCATCCTCGCCGCGACAAGACCATCCCGCCTCTCGTACTCGTCCTCATCCACGGCCGTCGCATCGTCATCTTCATCGTCGTCGTCATCCTCCTCCTCCTCCTCAGTCTCCTCATCATCATTCTCGTCAAGAGAAAGAGGCCGCCCCTCACTAGACGACAAATCATCCGCCATACTATCCTCCCCACCATCAAACCCAAAACTCTCCTCCGCAGCATCCGGAATCTCATCATCCAGATCCCTCATCTCCTCTTCCTGCTCCCCATCCTCCCCCCCTTCCCCAAGCACCCCCAGCCCCCCACCATCATCACCATCCGCCCCGCCCGCCTCCGCCTCAGCGAGCTCGAGCGCAACCTGCTCCCGCCTCATCGCCTCAGCGTGCTCCTCCTGCTCCCGCCGCTCCTCGCGGATCTGGTGCAGCGTCTTGGGCACGCCGGGCGGCTTCAGCCACGTGCTCCCAAAGTTTTGCACGTGCAGTCTGCGGCGGTCCATTGTGTGCTCGTCGGCGCGGAGGCGGGCTAGCGCCGAGCGTTCGATGAGGAGGTGGCCTGCGCGGCGGGAGGAGGAGCTGTTTTGTTGTTGTTGCTGTTGCTGCTGTTGCTGCTGTTGTTGCTGGGCGGAGGAGCCATGGTGGTTGTTGTGTTCGTGGGCTTCGAGGAGGGCGGCTTGGGTTATTGGGCTGCGGGAGGAGGTGTACCAGATTGAGTGTGACTGTTGATACTGAGGTTAGATGGTTGCCGCGATAGTTGCGCTGGGAGGGGAATGAATGGTTTGGGAGAGGTAAGTTGAGGTCGGGGAGCTTACATCTCGTGGAGTGAGGTCTGGTAGGAGGCCGAACATTGTGACTCGCAGGATGCCGTCAGGCAATGCTCTAGAATTGCGACTGACTCAATGCCTTGATGCGCGGAAAAGAATTAATGTCAGAGACAGCCGAATGGGAGGTGTTTCGTAGCTGTCGAGAGCTTTCGTCGCAATTGGCACAGGACCCCGCTGCAAGTTGCTTGTCGCGAGGTTGCAAAGAGTAAACAATTCGACAGTACGTACTCGCCGGGGTGGTAAGGGTCTACCCCACACTGCCAGACGCGCCGCGCCTAGCGCGCTTAATCCCTGCGAAGAGGAAGTCACGATGCTTCATTGCGGGCGGCAGAAATGTGGTCGACTGCCTCATAAATTCAACGACATGTCTTCATAGCGTGCCACGACTCGAACACTCACGATGGCTTCGTCGCAAAGCAATGTGTGGGTGCCTGGGAGTTTGCCATCTTCATACCCCTCCGTCAGGCTAACACCAGAGCATTAGAGAAAAAAAAAATCTGCTCAAACCCAATTGAGAGTCTCCGCCAATTCGACCGAGTGACTCTTCCCTCCGTCGGGACTTAGATCCATGAGTTTCCCACCGCCAGAACTGCTTTGCAGCTTGCCTCGCATCAATCTCAGACCGTACTTGTTGAGTCTGCGCTCTCTGGTTGCTAGGTTTCACCCAAACTGCGTGGGCTGAGCCCTCAGACGCCTACGTCTCCTCGTTTCGAAGGGGGTTTACTGTTTTCATTTGGTAAGTGGAAACAGGGGGGTTGAATTCGTTTTCCGTCTTTTCACATTCTCTACGCTTCTGCACCAGCCAACTCTCGTCTGTCATTGATTCGCATAGCGACGGGGAAACGAGGGACCAGCGCATTCGCCCCGCGCCGCTCTGATGTGTCTCGTCGGAAAGAATCGGAACAGCGCTGACTTCGGAGTTGCTGGCATTGGCTGTGCAAGTGGAGGTTTCAAATGCCATATTTCCGCTTTGTGGGAATTCCTCGCGGCCATGGGCTGACTCGAGTGGACTCTCTCTTCTGCCCGTTAATTTTTTTCGCTTCTGTCCTAGACCTAATACCGAGCAACTAAGCAAGACGCCCCCCTGCAAGATGGTATGGGATGGGGTCTGAGGGCGTGGCCGCCTCCGATATAGGTCCCAGAACGCCAGCCAGGGGTTACATCCGCCCGGCCCTAGTTAGGGTGAACGGCCGAGCCGACTTCGGGGGGGGGGGCTTGGTTAGCGCTATGGGTAAATGGCAGATGCCATGTCGGCCCCAGCTTCGCTTCGTGTCGTGACAAACTCCACGAAGACGTGTGTGAGAATGGATGCGTAACAAATATTTCCAGAGCCGGGCCAGACATTTATAATTCCTGTTGTTCAAGTTGCCGACCAGAAGCCCGCTAAACATGCTCCAAGTATGGGGCTTGGTATGTCACTGACATGTGTAGCTGGACAATTGATTTGTGACTACAATCACAGAGCTGTTTATTCGTCCCCGTGTTCTAGCCGACCGCATGGATCCAATATGAGACGGCTTCCTATAATATTGAAGCGTCATTGCTGCTCAGGTGCGGAGATGGAGGGTTGCTCCAGGAAGGCATAGGTGATCATAACCGCTCCCAGGTTGTAGTATTCTGTCCATCCAGATCAAGGATGCAGACACGTGCTGGTCGACAGGCTAGCCTGCGAAACCCTAAGTCAGTCCCGGAACGACCAGCCTTTCTCACAAACTTTAAACCCAGAGCAAAAATACTTATGATATGTACTTGCGTGCGTGTGTGAACAAGCATCTGTTTGTGCACTTTGGTGACACTTGTGACGTAGCCCATGCATGCGTCGTTCCCAGGCGGTTCATCACCGAGTGCGGAAGTGCCTTTCATGTGGCTGGCATGTCTGTGCCGCTTCTCAGCAGGCTACCTTGGACGTTGGAATCCCGTCGGAGATGGCCCCCTCCTTCTTCTCCTTTTCTCCCCCTCCCCTCCAGCTCCAGAAGCCAAGAGACCACGAACGTCTGTGCATGGACACAGACAGGGTCATGCTGAGCAGGGAACTGCGAGATCTCGAACGCCTCCGGTCGGCGGGGTCGCACTTGGCATGGATGTGCCGACTAGGGTGATACCTGGCTTGCTATAGCTCAGATGCAGATGCAACGAGTGGCCACCATGGTTGGCTCGAGATAAGACGGTTGAAGATGAGGCTCTAGTTGTGATTGGCCGGCTTCTCCAATTTCAAGTTGTCGATTTTTTGACAGCAACCCTTTTCGAGTTGGGCAACAACTGTCGATGCTGCAATGCAGTCAGACGCCCAACTCGCCAGATGATATGCCGGACAAAATGAAGAGGGTGACTAGTTGCCTTTTCGAGTGCCATTCTGTACAGCAACGGAACGTGTTCCCATCTCATCTCTCTGCTGTCGCGCCGTTCCCTGCCTGCATGTGCTCGGTGCTGCCCGCCATTGGCTAGCCTTCCCGTAAAGCCCGTATTGCTTGCAGTTGCGACGTGCGCCGCGCCTGGAACATCGCTTTCGCGGAGCAGACCGCACTCAAGCTGCGCCCTTCTGCTGAGCGGATCTTGTGTTGGGGGGGGGGGGGGGGGCTCATTTGTCAGTCGGTCCGTCCATCGGTATCCGTGATCAATGCCGCCGCAGGCGCTTGAGGAAAAGGCAAAGGTCGCAGCCCAGATGCCCCTGGTCCTTCGTCGGCCGCTGCCGTCCAGCCGGCCGTGGACACCACCAAGTTCCGTAGATCGGAGGGCTGATAGGCAAACAAGAGATATACCGACCGCTCTCATTCGCGATAGGATTTCGGAAACAGCTCGGAATCTGCGCAACATCGAGTCCATGACGCAGCTTGGTTGATCTCGAAATTCGCCATCTTTCAAATTTGCCCCGGTTGATAGTGCAGTAAAAACAGATAGCGCATGCAGGGCCGCGAGACATTGAAGCCACCCAGTTGACAGATGCTGGTTCTGCACGCTAGCAAAGTAACAACAGGTAAGTCTCCCATCAGCATGTGCAAGCGTGCCTCTGAAATGGAACAGATGTTCAACACCATCCCATCCCCTCCCCCAACTTGCTCACCCAATCACCTGCATCGATGCTGGATTGGCCCTTGTCCAAGAAGGGTCCGGGTCCAATTCCTTGGGGGCATCCTGCGGTTTATCAGGGGCCCCAAGATCCGAGGCGACTTTGGCCAAGGGCGTCTTTGAAATGCAATTCGCTGATTGGTGCAAGCTCAAAGCTTGCTCGTTGATGACATTAACCTTTCAACGACTCCGTTTCGAGAGTGCAAAAAACGACTGGGTACCCCCTGCTTGACCCGCATGGAGTATGTGGGGTGCATCTCTGCTGCTGGATTTTTGGCCGAGGCGCTGGGTTTTTGTGTCAAAATTCTCTTACACACAGTATTCCGCAAGCTACGCTTGAGCGGAACGGGATTCGCCAGAGAGGCCGAATAAACTACAGGCTGTTGCTCTCCGGGATGTGCGGAAGAAGTTTGACAGCCCAGCGCCGTGTCTGGTAGCACTGCGTAAAAGTCTCGGGTGACTACCCGAGATGTCTTCCAAGACGTCTTGAGTAGGTAGAGCAAACGCAACGCTGAATGACGTTCGGAATACATCCGAAGCAGAGTCGCAGGTGCGCACAGCGTCTGGTTCGCGGAGCAAAGTGCCGGAAGGCATGGTGTTCTGTGGTTTTCTGAAGGACACTCGAACCCAGGAGCGGGTAGGCGTAAAGAACATCAATCCGCGAAATGAGGTGCCGTATACAGGCCCTCGAAATAGGTACGCAATAAAACGCTCCGGTCGCCGCCGGCGTCATATACACTCGCCGGATCTTCTTCAAGCTGGTCGGCCTGAAATTGGTTCACCGCCATTGGCCAAGACTCTGAGGCGGAATATGGTATATAGCTCCCGAGGCGTGGCATTCCCTAGCGTGCAGAGTCCGGGCGGAATATCCGTACGGAATGAAACGAATAGAACAAGATGCGTTTGTCGGTCGAAAGACGAGTACCCATTGGAGTGCCCATTTGACCGAAACAATGTCGGCAGCGTTGACATAGCAAGATGAGGAATGCTTTCTGTCGTCACCCATGTTCCCCCAGATGAGGCGACCGGGTTGTACTGTACGTCAGGCAGCCCGCCCGGAGTCCTACCTCGAGATTTGAATCCAACGTCGTTCAACTGACGAGAGAGAGAAAAACACAGTAGGCAAGCAATGCGGATATGGGGTGAAGCGTTGCTAGGCCGGTAGTACGGCGTGACGGAACACCCAACGGTCAGGGGAGGACCCCGCAGAGCAACGTTGGCACGCCCGCCGTGGTGGGAGGGACCCAGTTGGGATTCCGGAGGAGTAGGTGGTGGCGCATGGGGAAGTAGATTGGCGGCACGTATTGCCTTTGGTGGTAGCTTGAGACGAAGGTTTGGAGCAATGGAGAGACTTTTGAGGAAGCGCGAGATGGTGAGTGGGTGAATCGATTGTTAGGATGGTGGGTGATGGGTGAGCCGACGGGGAGGAAAGTCGATCGAGGTTGACGTGGCGGAAGATCATCAACATCCTGAAGTGTAGGGCACTCCGGGGAAGCGTGGGATGCCGGGAGTGGTTGCTGTGTAGCATTCAAAAGCCGAGACATTGGCCTGAGAAGGCTGAGATTGACAGTGCAAGCGGTTCTTCTGTGGTGATCTGGCTGCCAATCTGTCTGAATGGCCGTTTTCCTATGTAGGCGGGTGGTGTGTCGATGGTGTCTTGCTTCTGGCCGATGTGCGGTGTTCGCTGGCATGTGGTTCTAGGAGGACTCATTAACACTCAAGAAGAGGGGGTTTTCTATTCCATTTCCCGAAAGCATGGTCCCCCGTCAGAAGCAGCATCGTTGGCCGCTGTGGTGGGCGATTGTCAAGCTGGCCCGGGGTGCCAGAGCCGTGGAGGGGCAGAATGGTGCGCTGGACCGGTCCACTTCCAGGCCATATTCACCCGTGGACAGGCCACCTGGAAGGGGGGATTTCCAAGGTTTGTTGCATGGTAGCAGTCGAACAGCGGCGGGCTTCCCAGGCAATGTCGTGGGAGGCAAGGAGGCTAGCAGGGTGGTGGCATGGTGGAAATGGTGGCATCAAGTTGGAGGACCAGGAGAGAAGCCCACTGAAGAGAGATGGATCATGGACCGAAAAACGGAGCAGGAGAGAAGACGACGCATGCCCCATGGACCGGAGGCGGGGCGGAGAGTGGCACCCGCAAGCAGCCCACGGGTCCCGTTGTGTTAGTGCGCTGTCGAAGAGTCAGAGAAATGGAGACTTCTCGCCAGACTCTTCCAATGGGAGACATACATGTTGGATTGATCGATGCTTTGATTGGACCGCGCTTCGCCCTCTGTTAAGGTCCATAACTTGTTCGGACCCCACCGTACTATGGCTCTGTCTTACACCTTGCAGTCTGCTTGGAGTTTCGAAGAAGCGTACCTGTCGAGAACAGAAAAAAGACCACCCTGATGGGATGGGATGGGATGGGAGAGAAAGACCGACACGCCCGAGAGGAAGGCAGCAGTCGCAGTAGCAGCAGCAGCAGCAGCAGCAGCAGTGCACAGACACAGCCGCGCCGTCCACGGAGCCTCTCTCACCGATACGTACCCCTCTTTTGGGCTCTTTCCTCCCCTTCCATTTGCTCCTGCCGGCTTTTGCATGACTTCCCATCTCTATTTCTTGGTCCGAGGTCGTACCTTCCCTCCATTCTCATCCCATCTCAGTGCTTCCTGCAGCAACTTGCAAGCTCTCGCATTTGGGGTCGGTACGTACCGCCATTTCATCCCACTTTGTCTGCTGCAAACCCCCACTGCTGTTTTTTCGGTCTATTCCCCTCTCAGTAGAAGTAGAAACGCGCATGAAAAAAATGAGAAGAGAGAAAAAAAGAGAGAGGCAGAGCGCATATGCACCACCAGTACTTGAGCCAACTGCACCTCGCAAATTACCAGGGGCCGTATGATTTCTCCAGTAGACGGATATTCTTTAGCCTTGTCTGTCTGCCTGTACCTTGGGTAGTGGATCAACATTCTGCATAAGAGGACCGCTGGTTGGTTAAACCTTTTTCTGGTCGGCTTGCCACAAGGTAAGGTAGAAAAAAGTAAGAAGGCAAGTGCCAGCCCATCGGTCGTCTCTGTCAGGAAAGCGCCAGTATCCCGAAAAGGACCTTTCTGCCGTGTTATTGTCGTTCCGCGCCTCGTCCGTTCCTCGCTCTCGTGCTCTCCGAACTCATTGCCCCGTTTTCCTGTTGTCTCCATACACAACCGTCATATTCATCCAAATTGCATTGGCTTCCTCTGGTCTTGGGTTCTCTAGTCGTTCGGGTGGCCGCCGGCGATCGCCTCCTTCCCATCCATCTTGTCAGTCCCGTCTTGCTACCCCCCCTCCAACCACCCCCCTCCCCCAGCTTGGGCCCAGCGCCGACTCAGGACTTTTACTCCTCCTCCTTCACCCACTCCTCTCTCTCCCGTCTTCGCCCACACACTTGGGCCAATACACCAAACCTTTCATAAAAGGCTACCCGTCTCCCACCTCCCACCTTTTCTACTCTCCTCTTTCTTCCGCCCTCCCACTCTTCACGCGCGGTGCTACGACGGTAGAAAAGAAACCCTCTCGATCCCACTGCGCAAACATCTCGGCCACATACGGTCCATTACAATACCCAAAGCCTGTCGGTAAGTTAAACATACATGTGCTCACATAGGGACCAACGTCTCATGACCCGAGACACTGTCATGCCATTCCCACTACCTTTCCATCTGCCTTGCACACAATGCCACCAACCGTCCAAACCGGCCCAACAGCAAGACGCACAGAGAGACGAGAATCGAATCACAAGGCGTGAGTATGTGAGAGAAGGCGCAGAAGAACAGAGAGAGACACGAGTATCACAACCGAGATACCGAGAAAGCAGCACTTGAGCAGACCAGACCAGACCAGACCATACGAACACGGCGAAGCGAATCTGAGCCATATCTTAGCCGCGAGAGCAGCGTCGGCAACACCAATGGCTTTGAAAATAGTAGCAACAACGGCAACGGCTTTTGACGGCGCATCAATACGCTGCGATTTTGGCATCTCCGTCCTCCGTCCCAACTCTCTTTTCTGGGACAGTCGCACATTCTCTCCTGCACAGCGCTACACATGCACCCTTTTTCTCTTGGGTATGCGCCTACGACTGCAGACGACCCCACACCCGTAGGCCCAGACGAGCGACCCCTGGTCGTAATCCCTGTGGGTGTGATGTAAGGTCACCGCGGGAATGGAGCTTGCAGTCGCCTATCAACCCCCCCAAGCCAAAACAACACACCCAAAAAAAAAAAAAAAAATCTTGGAGGGGTTGTCGGCCGGTGGCGGCCTAGCACAGGCGGGACTGGCGTGTGCGACCATGTGCTTGTTCCCCCATTTCTACGACAGATTTGGGGCCGGCGACTGGCGTCACCATTCTTAGCCGCATGCTTTGGCAACAGCCTGCTTCTCATTGGCTACAGCCCTTGTGGCGGTACAGCATTAGGAAGCACGGCCGGCGCCGGCACCACATTCTGCATGGAATGCTGCCCTGCGGGCACTGGCCTTGACACTGGCAATGCTGCAATCATCTCACATTGTCTGCTTGTCCAGCTGTGGTCGGCAAAAGGAGAGACAGCGCCAAACAACTTTGGGCATTTGCAGTGGCTTGCATTTGCTTGATCCTGTCTGAGCTGCTTTTGGGTTGGATGGGTACGGCTGGGACTGTTGCTTGCCAGCTGCTTGCTCGCTATTGTCCTAGCTTGCCCCTCCATCCCCGGCTTCGATTGCTTGGTTTGAGCGTTGCTCGCCTCATCTTGCCTCGCTTCCACTGCTACCGACAATGCCCCTCCTGGAGCCACGTTCTGCCGCCATTGCTGGTTGCATGTGTTGCTGCTTGCTACCTTTTGCGCATTGTTGCTCGGAATGCTTGTCCGCCCGTCTTGGCTCTACGTCGTTGAGAACCGGGGTCGGGAATCATTACCACCACCAGGCTCTCACTCCTTTCTCAGTTTACCTGGTGCTCCCTCACTTCCGGACGACGTAGAAATCCGGTTCGGGAGTAGAGTTTGGCCTGCTCTGGAAATTTCCCCTCTGGTCCTCCGTGCGTATCTCGCCAGCTCCGAGCTTAATTGAAGGATATCGCACCCCGCATCCAGTTTCCTCCAACGATTTCTCCTCGCCACTCTCCTCTCACTCTCAAACTCGCTGTCAACCATTCGCCTTATCAGTCTCTCTCTCTCTCCCTCTCTCTCTCACTGCGTCTCTCTATCCCTCACTTTCGTGGCCCAAGACCACTCGTGTGCTCTGTGCAACCTTGCGTCTGGCCATTGGGCGCTCACTTCCCCTCATCTCACCACCGTCGAATCCAAGTCATAGTTGACCTACACATCTCCGTCTCAGCGTCACTAACTGAACCCGTTGTTGGGCGTTACAGATTCGTACCAGAGCCATTGCTCCTACCGATCGACTGCTGCCGACTGGAATAGTCCCTCCCCCGTCGACCTATACCAGCCTCTTCCACTGCAATCAGGCTCGAATCCTCGCCTAGCATGGGCCTGCACGAGGACTTCGACGACCGACAAACCCATATTGAATCTGAAAAAGAGCAATACACTCCCTATGAGTACCAGACGGACAACAATGGCTCCTGGGCGGGTGCTCTGCCGGTGAAGCAGTATGTTTCCTCGCCACACGTGCTCTAAAATTGGCCATACTGACGATTGAACCTAGAGGATTGTACGATCCGAGCTTGGAGAAAGACGCATGCGGTGTCGGCTTTGCTTGGTATGTCTAGAAGACCAGACAGAGAATTGTTCTCAGCTCTAAACAAGCAACCACTGACACCTCTCGCAGCCACATCAAGGGCAAGCCCAGCCACAAGATTGTCAGCGATGGTGAGTTCAACAATTCCTCTACCCAGTTCTTGCCCAGCAGCCCGGCTAATTAGTCTTGCAGCGCGCAACCTGCTTTGCAACATGACCCACAGAGGTGCTGTGGGATCTGATGCACGAGACGGTGATGGCGCTGGCGTCATGACTTCGATCCCTCACAGATTCTTTGTCAAGAACTTTGAAAAGGAGGAAGGCATTAAGTTGCCGCCTCTGGGACAATATGCCACGGGAAACCTGTTCTTTAAGCCAGACGAGGAGACTTTGCAAGAGTCCAAGAGGCAGTTGGAAGACATTGCCGAATCGTTAGGCCTGCGTGTCTTGGGATGGCGAAGGCCTCCCGTTGACTCGACTTTGCTTGGTCCTGCTGCCAAGTCCCGTGAACCCATCATCATGCAACCTTTCGTCGTGTTGACCTCCGCCTACGGCCCGACCAACGCTCCCGAAAACACCGACCCCGAGCAATTTGATGACAGACTCTTCGAAAGACAGTTGTATGTCCTCAGAAAGCGCGCCACTCACACCATTGGTCTCCAGAATTGGTTCTACCTCTGCTCCCTTTCCAACAAGAACATTGTCTACAAGGGACAGCTGTCTCCCGTCCAGGTTTACCAGTACTACTATGATCTGGTCAACGCCGACTACGAGGCTCACTTCGCCCTCGTCCACTCCCGTTTCTCGACCAACACCTTCCCCTCCTGGGACCGTGCTCAGCCTCTGAGATGGGCTGCCCACAACGGTGAAATCAACACTCTCCGCGGTAACAAGAACTGGATGAAGGCCCGAGAGGGTGTCATGCAGTCCGACATCTTCAAGGAGGAGCTTGAGGGTCTCTACCCCATTGTCGAGGACGGCGGTTCCGACTCTGCCGCTTTCGACAACGTCCTCGAGTTGCTCACCATCAACGGCGTTCTCTCTCTCCCCGAGGCTGTCATGCTCATGGTCCCCGAGGCCTGGCAAGGCAACACTCACATGGACCCCAAGAAGGCCGCTTTCTACGAGTGGGCTGCTTGCCAGATGGAGCCTTGGGATGGCCCCGCTCTCTTCACCTTTGCCGACGGACGCTACTGCGGTGCTAACCTTGACCGTAACGGTCTGCGTCCCTGCCGTTTCTACGTCATGGACGACGACCGCATCATTTGCGCTTCCGAGGTCGGCACTATTCCCGTCGAGCCCGAGAAGGTTATCCAGAAGGGCCGTCTCCAGCCCGGACGCATGCTGCTCGTCGACACCCTCGCTGGCCGCATCATCGACGACAAGGAGCTGAAGGAGGCTGTCTCCAGCCGTCAGGACTTCCGCTCCTGGATCGACCAGGAGCTCATCACCCTGCCCAAGGTCCTCGAGACCGTTGGCAAGTCCATTGATGTTGCCGCCAAGCCCGACGCCTCCCGTCTGCAGGAGGATCCCCTTCTTCTGTCTTTCGGCTACACCCACGAGCAAGTGAGCTTGCTCCTGGCTCCCATGGCTTCTGACGAGAAGGAAGCCCTCGGATCTATGGGTAACGATGCTCCCTTGGCATGCTTGTCCCAGGCACCTCGCCTCCTGTTTGAGTACTTCCGCCAGCTCTTCGCCCAGGTCACCAATCCTCCCATCGACCCCATTCGCGAGTCGATCGTCATGTCTCTGGAGTGCTACGTCGGTCCTCAGGGCAACCTGTTGGAGATGGACATCTCTCAGTGCGGTCGTCTCTTGCTTCCCAGCCCCATCCTCTCGATCCCCGAGTTCAACTCCATCAAGAACATGGCCACCATCCACCCTGAGTGGACTGTCAAGGTCATTGACTTGACCTTCCCCAAGAGCGAGGGCACCGCGGGCTACTTGCGCCACCTCGACTACATTTGCAACGAGACTACCGCTGCCATTGAAAACAAGGACCGCATCATTGTTCTGTCCGACCGCAACACCTCCAAGGACCGCGTCCCTGTAACCGCCCTCCTTGCCTCAGGTATGGTTCACCACCACCTGGTCAGCAACAAGTGGCGTTCTCTGGCTGCTATCGTCGTTGAGACTGCTGAGGCTCGTGAGGTCCACCACATGTGTGTTCTCCTCGGATACGGTGCCGATGCCATCAACCCCTATCTCTCCATGGAGTGCATCCTCAAGCTCAACCGCGAGAAGCTTATTAAGAAGAAGCTCTCTGATGATGCTTTGATTCACAACTACAAGCACTCTTGCGATGGTGGTATCCTCAAGGTCATGTCCAAGATGGGTATCTCTACTCTTGCTTCCTACAAGGGTGCCCAGATTTTCGAGGCTCTTGGTCTCGACGAGAGCGTCATTGAGCGCTGCTTCAAGGGTACTGCTTCCCGCATCCAGGGTGCTACGTTCGAGTCTATCGCTGAGGACGCTTTCCGCTTCCACGAGCGTGGTTTCCCCTCCCGTGCTACTGTCGGCATCAGTGGTCTGCCCGAGTCTGGCGAGTACCACTGGCGTGATGGTGGTGAGGCTCACATGAACGACCCCACTTGCATTGCCAACATTCAGGATGCCGTCCGCACCAAGAACGACAAGTCTTATGAGGCGTACTCCCGCTCCCAGTACGAGCAGATCAAGGCCTGCACTCTCCGTGGTATGCTCGACTTCAAGTTCGAGGACTGCACGCCCGTCCCCATTGAGCAGGTCGAGCCCTGGACCGAGATTGTGCGCCGTTTCTGCACTGGTGCCATGTCTTACGGTTCCATCTCCATGGAGTCTCACTCCACTCTGGCTGTTGCCATGAACAGACTTGGCGGCAAGTCCAACACTGGTGAGGGTGGTGAGGATCCTGAGCGTTCTCAGCGTCTGCCCAACGGCGACACCATGCGATCTGCCATCAAGCAGGTTGCCTCTGGCCGTTTCGGTGTCACCTCTGCTTACCTCGCGGACTCCGACGAGCTCCAGATCAAGATGGCCCAGGGCGCAAAGCCTGGTGAAGGTGGTGAGCTTCCTGGTCACAAGGTGTCCAAGTCCATTGCTCGCACCCGTCACTCCACCCCTGGTGTCGGTCTCATCTCGCCTCCTCCTCACCACGATATTTACTCCATCGAGGATTTGAAGCAGTTGATTTACGACCTCAAGTGCTCCAGCCCCCGCTCCCGCGTCTCCGTCAAGCTGGTGTCTGAGGTTGGTGTCGGTATTGTCGCCTCCGGTGTCGCCAAGGCCAAGGCTGACCACATCCTGATCTCCGGTCACGATGGTGGTACTGGTGCCTCCCGCTGGACTGGTATCAAGTATGCCGGTCTCCCCTGGGAGCTTGGTCTTGCCGAGACTCACCAGACCTTGGTCCTGAATGACCTTCGTGGTCGTGTTGTTGTCCAGACCGATGGTCAACTCCGCACTGGTCGTGATGTCGCCATGGCTTGTTTGCTTGGTGCCGAGGAATGGGGTTTCGCCACCACTCCTCTTATCGCCATGGGCTGTGTCTTCATGCGCAAGTGCCACTTGAACTCGTGCCCTGTTGGTATCGCTACCCAGGACCCCGAGCTCCGCAAGAAGTTCACCGGTACTCCCGAGCACGTCATCAACT